ATAAGACCAAAGATTCGCCATTCTTCCTCCCAAGGTATGGTGAGGGACATAATCTTAGCCCCTGATTTGCCTAATGTTAGCTCAGCATTGCCACTGTGGTTAAAGGTGATTTGAACTTGGAGTTTTCCTGGTAGATCTCTTTCCAATAATGCTACAGGGCAGTCTGGCAGGTAGAGGAACTGATGAGTAATTTCTCGGCTTTCCAGGGTGCATTGTCGGGGCTGTAAAAAGGGCCGACGGACTTGTCCGCCCATGGCACCTGTGATAGTGACCTGGTTTTGGGAGAAACGGCCTATGGGCTCTATTACAACAGAATGTTCAGCACCTGTGTCAACCATAAAGTCAATGGGTCAGCCCCCAATTAACATTCGGACCATAGGCTCCTGGGGGCCTACCTGGATGGAGCCCGGTCTGGCCTACGCTTCCCCATATTCTTCCATGTCAGCAAGTCTGATGAAGTCATCTTGAGAAGGGCCTGGCATCTTTTGGGGTGGCTGGTAATGGCCGTGAGTGACTCGACCCAGTGTTCGGGGACTTGGACCTGTTGGCATACTCTCCAACAGCTGAGGACATTCCTTTTTCCAGTGGTCATGTTGGTGGCAGTAAGCACATTGGTCATGTCCCAGCCTTGGCCTCCCGGAGTGTGGCCCTCTTGATGTCGTCCTCGCTGGAGTAGTCCCAGGTTAGGGATGGTGTTTTGTCCCGGGGTCCCAGCCCTTTCGACAAGTGCAGCAGCCAGCAAGTCCACCTTTTTCTTCATCTTCCGATCTGCCTATCGACGAGCCTCCTGGTCACGGTTGACATAGACTTTTGTCGCCACTTCGAGGAGCTGGATGATATTCATGCCAGCAAATCCGTCCAATTTCTGAAGTTTTTGCTGATGTCGCCCTGGGACTGCCCGATGAAAGCAGCATTGATCATCCGCTGATTTGTGACAGTCTCGGGGTCAAAGGGAGTGTAGAGACGAAATGTCTCACAGAATCTTTCATAAAAGTGGCTTGGGCTCTCCTCTGGCCCCTGTAGAACTTCAGAGATCTTGTTCATATTGATTCTTTTTTTGCTACCATCCTTTAGGCCTCGTATAAGGGCTTCTTGATACCGTTCCAGCATCTGGAATTCCGGATCATTATTGGGGTCCCACTGTGGGTCCTCCTCAGGGAAATGATTCTGGGCATACACTTGATTGTTTAAGGTCCTGGGTGGGACATGTTCCTCTAGCCATTCTATAGCTCCCTGGGTGACTCGCTGGCATTCCTCAGTGTTGAAGAGAGTTAGGATCTGGCGACAGTCAGCCCAGGTGGGCCGATGCGTTTGAATGAATGACTGAAGGAGGTCAGTCAAAGCCTGTGGTTTCTCTGTAAATGATGGGGTATGATTTTTCCAATTTGAGAAATCAGTGGTTGAGAAGGGCTGGTACACAAACATGCGTTGGCCTCCCTGAATCTGGCCTTCCTGATCATAGTAGCCGGGCCTCTGGTTTCCCATAGGGGGAGCTGGAGAGTGCCCATCTCAGGGCCCTTGGTCTGCAGCCGTTTATCTGCGGGCACATAGAGGGTCAGGACTGGAGGCGGAGGTGTGGCAAGAAACTCCTGGAAAGGCGTAGTGGGCAGGGGAGGTGGAGACAGCAAGGGCGGTACTGAAGGCAGCGCTAGCATGGTGGGCGGAGGAAGTGGAGCTGGCAAGGGTGGTGCTGGGGGCTGGGCTAATGGCTCCAACTCTCGCAGAAGGGGTGGGTAAATAGGCGAGTAGGGAGGTGGGTTTTCCTCTGGGTCTGAAGACAGGACAGGCTTTTGTCCTTCTGTTTTTTCCTTAGGCAGCTTCTGTGAGGGGATTATAGCTCATGCCTATAATCAATTAAAGAATTCTGTGCTGGTTTTCCAAACAGGACTTCAACCTAGGGGTCGGGTACGTGCAATAGCCTCCTGTGAGTCAATGTAAGGGAACTGATTGGGGTGACCATGGCTGCCGGTAACAATGAGGTAAACTTTCCTAATGAGGTCTCTGTCTAAGCTTCCCTCTGCTGGCCATTCGACACCGAATGACAGCCAGTCAATCTTACAGAAGGTACGAAGGTTTGGGGGGTCATCTCAATGCCATAATCCCCTGAGAACCCCTTCTTAAAAATTTTTAACGTATATCCTAACGGAGTCAGAGTACTCTGTTGCTCACCCATGGCAACCACCCGAAATCGGCGCGACACACACTCAGAGATTTGCTTTGTCCGTCTCCGGCCACTCCCCTCGCGGGGATTCTCAGATGCATCTTAGTATTGGTGGTTCGGTACAAACCCCCAACTTGGATTACTAAACCGTACGAGACAATTTAGCAATACCTCCCTAAGCCATATGAGGTGCACCACGGACTCCACACTTGCTTCGCAGGCAGGCTGCGTCTCATTCACACAGACTCAAACACAATTATTCTCCACCCGCTGCCCTGTTCCTGGGAGTCACGGTTTCTCTCAGAAACTGAGATACTCGGGTGTCTGGGAGGTGATCAGTCTCCCCTTCTGTCTACTGATGGACAGGCTACCAAGTGACCCGGGTCCTTACCTGTCTGGTCGAGTGGTGCTCCGAAGTTGGTTCCTGTAGCCCTCAGGGTTCCTTTGTGTTTTTGGGTCGGTCCCCCGTGGCTGACAGGGGAGATGTCCCCACTGACGGACAAGAGTCCCCTGGTTCCGAGTAGAGGGTGCATCCCCTCTCGTCCGGGGAGCTGGGCTTCGGGGACAAGTGAGGGAAAAATATCGCCATTTCCATCTCCCGGGTGAACCTCCAATTATGTTGCGAGGAACCCAGACAAAGAGACAGGACACCAAGGCATGGGAAGCAACTTTTATTAATGCTGGCACTGGCTCAGTGGATTCACATCCAGAGGCTGAGCCCCGACCCGGGTGGGACTCGGGGCTATATACCCTGAAGTTTCCAGGTTGGCAGCTAAGATTTATTATTAGAACATGTGGCCATTGTACCAGTTCCTGCCTGGCTCCCGGGTGAGGTAGGAATTTGAAAATATTAAACGCGGAAGTCTTGCTGACCATACAGTCCAGGAATGTCTTCGTCTGAAGCCCGCGCGAAATCCTTAGTGACCACATGGTCTGGGAAGGCCTTTGTCTAGGGCCCACTGCCACACCGGTATTTATCTTGGAGGTAGAATTGACAGGTATTGGTTATGACTTGGATGAGGACGGCTGTGAGAGAAAGGGAAGAATCATTTTTGGCTATTATGTGCCATTTGACAGGATGCATATATTTCCTCTATTATTAAGCCTTTCTTTTTTCCCTTCATTTTAACATGAACCTTTTCAAAAACTAAAATGTTTGTACCATTTTAAAACTTTCATCATTTTGGTCTGGATTTTTTTTTTTCTTGAACTGCCAAATTGTACAGTCCTCTTTTTAAAAAGATTTTATTGGGGAATTGGGGGAGGGGAACAGCGTTGGGGAATCGGGGAAGGCGAACAGACACATTGCTGTCCTTTTGTTCTTCAGTCTAGTTGGGGAGGACGTCACTTTACTGGCCCATGTTGGTATTATCATTGCGTTCTTCCTGGGTGAGGCAGTCAGTCGCCGGCTATTGGACGGCCACTCACAGCGGCTCACGGCAGCTCACGCCAGCTGCCGGCCACTCACACTGACTGCCAGCCACTCCGATAGCTCACGGCAGCCCACTGCAGCAGGGGCTGCAGCCTATGCCGTCACCGGCGACTCACGGCAGCCCAGCTCCAGGTTGAGCTGTTGTTCACCATCTTAGCTGTAGAAGGCGAAGCGTCATCTGTCCTCATGTGGGATCCGAACCCGAGCCCTGCTGCTCAGAGCTGGTGTCTCAAGCCAACTCTTAACCAACACGTCATTTGGCCAGCCCTATACAGTCTTCTTAAATTATTTTCTTGTTTTCCTGTTGAGTAATGAGAACCTCCTTTCTTGATGTTTTTGCCACCTAATTGGGAGCATTTTATCTGTTAATTATTGCTGCTGAGGATTTTAACTCACCACTTTCAGAGTCGTCTCTTGAAATTATTGGGCTTTTGGAAAAGTCATGACGTATTTTTTTCTGTTTTTCGTTGCAAAAATGAGTCATGACTTTTCCAACAATCCAATAGAGTGTCATCCCTGCCCCAGGAAAATATGAGTGTTTAAAGACAAGCACCTGTTAAAGCAGGCCTCCCTTCTCTGCCCCATTGCTTCCCATGGTGAGGAGGGCCTGGAGCTGGGATGGTGGTGGTGGGGCACCTAGCTCTGCCCGAGGCCCATTGCTCACTGTGGAACTCCATTATTCTGTTTAATATGTACTTCATGTGTGCTAAGTGAAGTCTGAGTTTTTATTTTCTGTCACTTAGGACTAGTACTCCTCCTCAATAATTGGAGTTTATCATATTTTACTAAAATATGACTTCTTGCTAATTAATTGAGATCAAGCATATACAGTATTCTTTAAATTAAAAAAACAGATTGTTCAAATTGATGCATATGGAATGAATTATTTTACTCTTTTTTAAGAAACGAAGAAACACTGGGAAGAAAATTCATTAGACAGTAATGCAGAGATTTTTTTTGCACCTAAATGGGAAGCCAGAAATGCATATAAAACGTAAGAACTTCAGAAACATTTCTTAGACATGGTTGTTTTATTAAACACCATGGATGTTTTTGATTTCCCATTACATTAAAAGACTCAGAAGAACTTCATATTCTGAACATTTAAAAATAGCTCAATCTTAAAAAAGATATAAAGTATTATCAGCTGTGCTTTTTGTACATAATTAGCATGTGCCTGTGGAGGTATAATGACTTTTAGTGTAATGATGTTACTCATGATAAAAGGTTCAGATGGTAATGATTGGAACTACAGCTGGGTTACACATTTTAAAATAATTCAAAGATGACTCCACAGACAGCATGCTATTTTAGTCCCTTGTAATCCCCCTTTCACTCATCAGTGAATTGCGAAGGCATCAATAAAAGATCCTTTTTAAAATGAAACATTTTCCCCCTTTCTTATAGATTGGATGTGTGCTCACTGTTTCCTTCCGTGCTTGGCAGGCCACTGTGAAGGTACATCACCTTTCCCCTTTTTCTGAAATGGCTCAAGATGCAGTAGATCTACCTTCTGATTATCAGTTTTGGATGAGAAAGCTTTCTCTATGGGGCCAGGCCTCTACTTTGGAAACTCAGCAAGACACCTGCCGTCACCTGCCTCAGTTTCAGGATTTCCTGAGGCAGATGTACGAAGCTCTGAAAGAGATGGTAAGAAGTGGACCAAAATGAATGCAGTTATTTTGTGACATCAGGGACTCTTTACCAGATTTCACCAAACCCAGATTCAATCAGGGTCAGGGATTTGTGGTATTGACCTAATATATTGAAGGAGTAAGAAAGACAAATTACCTACAGGTAAATACAGACAGGAAGTGGTTTCCTTGTTTCTGATTTATTATGACTTCAGTGTTCCTCTTGATTAGTTATGTTGTCACATGAGATTTCCTGATCCATCAGGTTGTTTGTAAATAAACAAGGCTTGGACACTTGTTGTCAGGTAATAGTTTGGATTCTTTTAAGGGCCTTTGCATTTCTTAAACATTGAAGAGTTTGCTGAAATGCTTACTCTTTCCTCAACCCTGTTTTAAAGTGGGCTCTTCTAAGAGATGATAAATATTAAGATCTCTTCTTATAAATATTTTAAGTGGTCTCTTCTGGTTAATATTAAGATTTTGAATGTTTTTACAATTGTGTAATTTATTGTGTTAAAATTTTGATATATTTTTAATTGGACATAAGATTTATTTTTATTGCAGTATTTTTATGAATTAACATATTTTCATATAAAAATATAATTTGTTTTATACTTACTGTCTAACTTCAAGGTGAAAAGCAAAGTTTTCACTTAACATAGGTCTTCTTGTGTTATACTTTTATTCCCTTAATCAAAGAAGCAAGTGGGAAATTTGAAGAATAATTCATGTTGATGATATGTCTTTAGAAACTGTAAGGAAAGAGGCAGTCTGTATGAAAAACCAATGCTAACTTTTAAAATTGTTTTTTGTGATAAGACTTTTGTAACTTGATCTTAAAGTCCCAGAAAGTCTAAGATTGGCCTCGATGCTGAGACAAATGTGAGGAATTTATTGTGGCAATAGTAGGAAATGCTTATTTCAGCTGATGTGCACTTTATCTGAGTTTGGTCTTATTTTTGAACTTTCTGAAAGGTAAAGGAGTGGGATAAGAGCCAGTTGTATAACAGCATGTATATTTTAAAATCTTAAGCTGTTTCCTATTTGGTTGATCTTTTTTGTCTCAGGTTTTAGGTTGTTGCAGACTAAGTATGATGTCATTTAGCATATAGTAATCAAACTAGTAATAAACACAGATATATATCTTTATGGTTTGGCTGCTTTTATTTCTTTTTACAAGTTACAGAGTTCTTGTCCTCCTAAACTTTCTTTGAAATAGCCCTACTGGAGCTGAGTTAGGAATTTCTCTTATTATGTTAGAATAAAACTCTTAAGATGTAGATGAGATTGTAAAGAGATTAATCACCCATAATGTTTTTTTCACTATCGTGCAGTCTTTGTTATTTTTAAGTAAAGTGGCCTTTGCTGACTGTTAAGTATGAGTAAAATGAAGTTAATTTTATAACAAATTTGTTTTTACCTAAATATGTTGTATGTCTTATTTTTGGTGACTTGGTTTAAGGACAAAGGAAGGTAGGTTGCTTGCTAAACTTTATTTGCATAGTTTAGCTAAAGACCTTCTCTAATCCTGTTTTTCCTACTTTTTAAAAAATATACACTAAATGAGAAGGATTCAAGCTACCTGATCTATAGTGTCAGTTCAGTCTTTCTGAGTTGCATAGTGCAACTGACCAAAACATAATTTTCTTTTACAGGATTCATGCACAGTCATTGAAAGATTCCCCACAATTGGTCAACTGTTGGCAAAAACTTGCTGGAACCCTTTTATCTTAGCATACGGTAAGAGTCCAAAGAATGTCCTCTCAAAACATAAACTTCTAACAATTAAATTATAAACTTGTTTTCTGTTTTTCATGAAGTAATTTATTAAATGTATTCATTGCTCCATTACAAAGATGGCATCCTTTATTGTTGTCCATATATGTTTGTGTATGTTTGTATAGATGAACACACACATGCAGATCTATAGGAAAATAGAGGTCCTTGTGTTAGAGGGCAGAAACTTGCCAATGAATATCATAGCCTCGTTGTTAATTCATTGTAAAGTGGTTATAAAAATGAAATAATTTCTTTGTTTCACAGTTTCATATTCACTCACATATTGTTTTCCATGTGTAAAATCATTTTTCAGAGTCTAAATCTTGCTTGGCTCTGCCATAATTTAGGGATGACATTTTGGTTTTTCACAAGGTTAAGAGGAATTTGGGGAAACTTTGGGGGAGGTGTTCCTTTACTGACCTCCTGCCTACCTGTCCAGCCTCATTTCCTGTTTAATCCTCCACGACTACACCACATGCATTGTAGCCAGGTCAAATTACTAACTGTGCCTGAAGGCGCATGATGTTAGGGCTGGGGCATGGAATTGCTTTTGCCTGGAACTCTGTTCTCATCCCTCATCTTCTTATTAAACGTTTGAACTTTCCTTGCTGGAGCTGAGTTAGGACCTTCTCTTAGTGTCTCCAGAACTGCCAGCATTTCCCTTAATTGTAACACTTTCTATAGTGTTTTACAATTGTTGGTTTGCCTGTCTGATGGCCTGGAAAACTGAATGACTTTCAAGAGCAGGAACTGTGGGTTTTTGTTTGTTTGTTTGTTTTTATTGGTGGAGAGGAACAGCGTTGGGGAATTGGGGAAGGGGAACAGACAAGTTGCTGTCCTTTTGTTCTTCAGTCTAGTTGTGGAGGACGTTGCTTCACTGGTCCATGTTGGTATTATCATTGAGCTCTTCTCGGGCGAGGCAGTCGGTTGCTGGCCATTGGATGGCCACTCACGGCGGCTCACGGCAGCTCACGCCAGCTGCCGCTGCTCACGCTGGCTGCCGGCCACGCATGGTAGCTCACAGCAGCCCACTGCAGTCCCATTGCAGCCTACGCCATCTCTGGCAACTCACTGCAGCCCAGCTTCACGTCAAGCTATTGTTCACAATTTTAGCTGTAGAGAGCACAGTGTCACTGGCTCATGTGGGAACCGAACCGGTGGCCCTGCTGCTCAGAGCTCGCGCTTCCAAGCCAACTCTTAACCAACGCACCACTCGGCAGGCCCCCAGGAACTGTGGTTTTATTTCATTGTTGTCTAAGGGTCCACCGTAGGGTGGAGCCGGCACCCCCGAAGGTGCACAGTTGATGTTTATTGACTTAATTTAACTATGTTATTAGCTAATGTAACATTTACTTGTCACATTTTTTAGTCAAAGACTGATTGCATAATACATTGATATCAAAATAAAATATAAAATGAATATTCCTCTCTGATGTTTTAAAGAATTGTAAAATTTTTCTCTCCCAGCCTGCCGTAAATCATTATAAGAGGGATGAACTAGGTGGGGAAGGAACAACATCCACACTTGGTCCTGTGAGCGTACACGCATGGGTGCACCGAACATACTCAGGCTCACTTGCCCTGCTCCCCACCCTGTCTGTTTCTCTTCCTCTCCACTTAGGCTGCTTGCTGCTTCTTCCCCGTTGAGTTGATTCTTCCCCTCCCCATCCACTCAGCTTGTTCAAGTTCTTAATCTGAAGTAGCAAAGCTATCACTGTATTTGCCACACGTACCAGGGCCACACTTAATCTGTCCAGTCTTTATATGTTTCAGCCATACCAATGTTTCTCAAACATCTTTGATCAGAAATTCATTTTCTGTATGTGTGTATATGTATGCACACACGCATTTCATTACAGAATGCTTGTTTTTATTATATGCAATCCATCTTCATTACACTATTTTAAAAAATGGTCTGTATGACTCAAAACTGATTTCACAGCCCATTGATGGGTCATGACCAAAAGTCTGAAAAACAGTGAAGCTAGGCTGATGATACTGATGGAAAGAAAAAAGAAAGGAAACTGTTGAATTTCCTCCATTTAAAGGCACCACCCATGGTTAGGTATTTCAGGGACTGGATAACCACTTTTTAGAAAAAACAAATACTATGCAATTTGGGTGTACATGGTGCATGTAAGACACATTCCTAATTCAGAATGTTAAAATGTGGGAAAGTTTGTGTTGTAGAATTGAAGTAGAATGAGAGACATTGCTCACTTTGTGCTAGGCACTGCTGTCTGTGGATTGCATAGTGGATATGAGTTCTTGATGATAGTCTTGCAGGATAGGTAATTATGGATTGGAGTAAATAATCTACCTTCCCCAGAATGCACAGCTAATAAGAGCCCAGATCCTACCCCTCTAAATCCCTCATTGGTTGTAATGATCTAACCCACCACCACCTCACCCCACCGTGGATCACCCCATTGTGGCTGAATTACATGTATTCCAGTCCTGGCTTTACCACGGGCCAGCTTCACCTGAATGTATATGTTCACTGGACAGATATTTACTAAGTTTTTTTTGTTTTCTTTATATGCCAGGGTCCAGGAAAACATGGCTCACAGTTTCTGCCCATTTTCCAGTTAGGGAGAAAAGAGACCTAAGCAGATCAGCAAGACTGGGGTGATGGTTGGTATCTTGGAAGTCTAACCAAGGAGCTGAGGGGAAGGAGAATTTTACAGGGGAGCTCATGCTGGAGCTGACTCTTGGAGGACAGTAGATGAGATGGGATTTCCTAAGACATGCCATAGAACTCTCTGGGTTTCAGATTCCTGATCTGTAAAAGTGGAGGCTGGACTCATTTATCCCTGTGGCCTTAAACTTGTTATCAGTCTGTGATCTTTCCTTAGCACCTTATCTTCATTACATTGGCCCCCTCTGACAACCAGAAACAAATTCTCCAGCTCTTTCTGTTTCAATGCTTGTGTTACCTTTTGAACTGCCCATTAGATTTCAGTTTCCTGTTTGAGGTATGCCTTTGATTCGGAGCTCACAGAGGAGACTATCAGGCACAGAAGAGCTCCATGAGTAAGCAGATCTTGCCTATATGCTGTTGTTTTCCTAGTTGGGCACTTTCTTTCAGTTATGTAATATCAAAATTACTTCTTAAGTATGGTAAAAGTAAAAATGTCCATCAAGGAAAGAAGTAAGTGTCTCATAATATTAAGTGATAACAGGATGAGAAATCAGGAAACGAAGGAAGCAGGAAGGATTTGGAAATGAAAAGACAGCAAAGAGAAGGGAAAAGTAGATAATAATAGAAAGGGAGAGAACACATTTTAGTCAGTGGTGTTCTCTACTTTAAATGACTGCCTTCATGGAATCCTTGGTTTTAGATCTGCCCTCGTAATTGTGAGCATAACAGTTATGACGTCTTTTCCTCACTATTTGCTATCTATTGATGTGTAACAATTTGCTCCCAAATTTGGCAGCTTAAAACAATGTTTATTGTCTCAAAAAAAATGCTGCCATCATACTTTTGAACTATAGTGTTTAAAAAATTAATTTAACTTTTATTTGAAGTTACAGTTCAGTATATCAAAAAAATAAAATACTAGGTGGCAAATGGATGTTGGTGTATTCCTTTCCCTCACTCTTTTTTTTAGAATCCAAGCTTGCACTAAGACGTGCTGTCAGTGCCTGCCCCCGTGATGAATCCCAGGCCGTGTCTCATCTCACTTAACTGCCAGGCAGGATGTTCCAGTCCCAAAGTCAGGGCCTCCAGGGAGGACCCTGACAGATGCCATCCCCTGTAATGTGTGCTGGTGGCCCTCATGATGGCTTGCATCTGTAAATTTCTAAAGCAAATTAAGCTCATTAGCAGCCCATTTCAGTGTATTTCAATGCATTAACTCTGGGCAAGGGAAATCACCTCCTAAAGACTGGGTGAAAGTTTCTCTGGCTCTTCTTTTTGTTTTTGAGAGAAAAATAAATACACTTGTTGAACTAAATGTGCGGAATCACTCAGCACTTTGGAGAAACTTTCATCTTTTGGATTCTTTTAGATTTAAGCTCCATAAATTAACTCTTTTCTTTTTTTTGGTGTTGAGCGTCTGATTTTTGGAAATGCTCCCCATCAGGTTGTATTCTTTTTAACATGAGAAGCTGCTTGTTTAAGCATATCATTGGATATGTCTCCCACTTGCGACATGAAGACAGAATTTCTTATAATATTTAAAGCATAGGACATAAAGCAGTCACATTTTTAATCAGTGGCATTGGTTCAACCTGAAGAACCCTAGGATCATTAGAGGTTAAATTATATGATTCTTGAAATAAGCTGATCTCAGGCAAGCCAATGCTGTATTTGAGCTCATAAGAAAATGGGTAAAAAAATTATGTCCCTCAGAATAACTCCTGATAAAGTTTGTTCAGAGATACTAGTTATTAGGAGACCATAAGCCTGTGAATATTTATGGGGGGAAGTGGGTTTAAAAAATTACTAGGCATCTGTCAGGGTTCCTTCCTGGAGCAGGTTATCCATATACATTTTTTCAGGTTAGGGGCAGGGGAAAGATCAAAGTTTTTTTTTCTGAGTCTTTTGTTAATAAACAGCTAAAAATAATATCCCAAAAGGCATATTTTGGGGTGGCAAACTCTGCTTTCCCTCACCTTCTACCTTCTTATCTTCTGCAATCTCATAAACACAGCATTTCTAAGAGTTTCATTAACAAGAAATAAGTAAAATACAAATGTGGATGAAAAATGGGCCATATACTAAACCTGACAAGTTCAACGGCGGCCAGCATGGCAGCCCCTACAAACTCAGAGACTGAAATTAACCACACAGGATGGTCTGAACATAAAAATTCCTAACTAAAAGCGGGATATGGTAGGTAGTCACATCCTTGGCCTGTAGTTTCCTTGACAAAGGTCAGTCTTTACCTTAAGTGAGCCTGTCTATTGTCTTTTTGCATCTAAGATGACATACCCTTGGAATGTCAGAGTAATCCCTTTTTCTGTACCTCTCGGGGCATAACCCATTGCACCAGACTACAGAACCCCTCATTGTTACTTTGTTTGCCGAATACCATTTCTATGTGCTGTAAATGTTCATTGCTAACTATCCTGGGCCCACCAATATAAAATAAGTATGTATCTCTCCATTTTACTTTTTATCCAATCCCAGAGATTTCCCTGCTTTGCTTTCTCCCACCCCTTTAATCCACCACCAGTGGATTTCATGTAACCCTCTTTACGTCTCTCTCCTCCTTTGATTCTAATGAATAAAATAAGCTGCAAAACTGCCATTCTCCAGAGCATTTTCTTAATCCATTGAGATTTTGCTTCCTGACAACTGTCATCAGTTTGGCTCAAATAAACTCATTAAAGTTCTCTGCAGGTTTGGATGTTTCTTATGTCGACGCAAACTACAGTAAGCTACCTCTGCATTTTCAACCACACACCCAAACTATAGTTTAGTATAAACTAAGTGTGATAGACAGGGAGGAACCTACCAAGGCCTGTTTGATCGAAGTCCTTTCTACATCCCAGTTAAAGATGGTCCAGCAAACATTTATTTACCAAACATTTGCTTGTCCATATCCATGTGAATTGTCTTCCTGACCTTTGAAGTCCCAAACCACAATCCCCACCCACTTCTTCTTAGCTCAAGGTGGCATATAGGCCTTAACTGCCTGATCTCTGCTTCTGCCCTGATCCCATATTCTTATGGAACCCCCATATGTACATACATAATAAATTTGGTCATTTTTCTCCTGTTAATCTGTCTCATGTTAATTTTATTATTAGTCCACCCAGAAGAAATTAGAATGATAGAAGGACAATTTATTTTTCTGCCCCCAGAAGGGCATCAGGTGATTATACAGAGATTGATTCCAGGTGCTGGGTTTCCTCAGCCTCACCTCCATGGCCTTGTGATAAAACTGTAGTTGCTTGGCTCTAATTCAAGTAATAACATCTTCAGTTTTTAGGCCCATTTTTGCTTTTCAATCCTGCTCTAAAATTTCCAGCTGAAGTGGACTCAGTTTCCAAAAGAGGAAAAAGAAAATGGCTCACTAAATAGATATTCCCACCAAATATAAGATTTCATAGTTTCCAAATCACATATTTGATAAAGTTTTAAATTTGAGAGTAAAGTATTAGGAGCATGTTAAGAGGCTTCTATTTTATCTAAACCATTTGGTACCAAACAATCCTTTTGTTTGTAACAAGCGAGGGTGTTTTGTCAAATTAGAAAATTAAAAGATTTAGTCATAAATACTGACTTCTGCCTATAACAGTTATGTTGCCTTAAAGAGGTTGAAATTACTATTGGTTTGAAATGTGAAATAAAGAACTGATCTTGAGAAAGTCCCAGTTCTTTTAGTTCTTTCCATCCTCTTTTGGCTTTAAAAATTGCTGCTGTAACAGAAAGGGAATTGGCCACACAAGGGCTAAGTATAAGTGATCCCAAACCCACAAGAAGAAAAAATAACCCCACAAAGTTAAGTTTCACACGTGTTCCTGGATACTGTTCTATGAACTTAGTAGTTTGAGATTTTCCTAAAATATAATAAATATATTTTCTATAAATACAGTGTTTTAAGTTTTTTTATACTGGTTATCTTTCCTTTTTCATTTGATCGAACCTGCTCATTTTAATTTTTTCTTTTTGCAGATGAAAGCCAGAAAATTTTAATATGGTGCTTATGTTGTCTGATTAACAAAGAACCACAGAATTCTGGGGAATCGAAACTTAACTCCTGGACACGGGTAAGAGAGTAAATCTTGCTCTGCACTGCTTTGAATTAAATTGATTGTTTAAAGGTGCTGCTTTGACAGTCCAGCACTATGATGTTTTAGAAACTTTTTCAAACACTGTTACATTATCTGGCTGAGTGTAAAGTTATTCAAGAGATTTCATTTTTGTTTGTGAATTCTATAAGACATTAGTCTTTAGGGTGAACTTTCCCATACCTACAAGACCTAATAGTGAGTGATTTTGAAAAGTTACTTTCATGTAATTAAAAGAATGTACTCCATTTCTTTCTAGCAATTGCTGCTGTCTTTCAAAGAAATTGTTTCTCCCTACCAACCTAAGTTTAAATACTGTAATTATGTAATTCTTCCCCAGGTACTTCTCTGCCTGTCTCAGAATCTATTCTGTAGTAAAACTAAAATTCAGAAGTTCCCTGGGAGCAGCGGTCTTTATTTCACGTCCTTGAGTTGGTACCTGGGCCAGTGTGCTCAGCCTAGCACCTGGTGCTCGTTGGCTACTGCTGCTCACACCGTCGTGTCAGTTACCCAGCTAGGTAACCCAGATAGCCGACAGCTCCCTGCATCCCCTTGTCTGTTTCTGCTTCCTGAAGGGCAGGCGCAAGTTGGAGAATCTTGTAGGGCTGGGCTGCGGCTGCCCTCACCACTAGTGAGCTGGCTGTTTTTTCCTCTTACCTCCCGCTCTCCTGCTGCAACAGCCCCCAGGACTCACTGATGCCTGTCAGACTCCACTTAGCATGCGGATGGTTCAGATTAGCTGCTTAGAGTTATGAAATCTCCCACCCAGATTAAGGCATGTGGTTTTGTCTATCAACCTGACTGGTGATAGCATTTCATTCACTGCTTTTTTACCATTTCTTTGTTTTATACAAAATGACCAGCGGACATGACCAAGACAATATTTGTAATTTTCTGTTAGATTGAAAGAAGAATAGAAGGGATGGTAGAGGTGAAAAGAATTTGGTGAGGGAAGGAAAGAATGCAAAATTTAATTGGAAGGGAAATTAATTTAAAGAGCTGAAGAAAAACTGATAAGTAGAATTAGAGTTGAAAAGGTATGAAAAACAAGTTTATAGGACTACAATAACATATTTAGTCTTTAATGTTTTAAATTGTTGCTTCTGTTGATTATTTGACATTTTAATGATTATTTAGGATATATTTTTATATTGCCTACCTCAATAAGTCCTGACATAGGCCATCTAACTAACACGTTTTTAGGGTGATTGGGGTTAACTTTCTTTATTTTTATCATAATTATTAGCTCATTTAAAAATGTCTAGCCTTGCATTTTATTCTGTGGGTTTCCCTTATTTAATATAGTATCTATTTACCAGTAGGTACTTAGTGAGTATATAGCACAGGGAGATAAAGTAAAAACACTTAATTGCTACCTTCAGGGAATTCACAGACTGGTAACCAGATCATCCAGTGGCAGTGTGATTGGGTGATTAGTAGGGCTGTATATAGGCATGATGGTAACACGGTGGAGGGACATTTGCTCATATTTGGGGGTTTGGAGACATTTACTGGGGGAGGTCATATATTAGCTGAGTTTTGAAGGATGACTCGGAGCAGGGATAGAGTTTTAGGAGCAATATTCCCAGCAGCAGAAAGAGCATGTGCAAAGCATGGTGGTGAGAAAGCACATGTTGCATTCAGGGAACTCCAGTGCTTAGATATATCTGAGCTCAGGTGTTATTCAGTTGGTTATGAAGCATAAAGCCGGGGACACAGGTAAGCACCAAGTGCTATGTATTGTTATAAGAAGTATTTTAAACAGAGAAATCACATGGCCAAGTGTGTGCTTTAGAAACTGAACAGTAAAAGGAAGTTGATTTGGAAGGGGGCAAGGAATACTAGTACTTTGGAAGCTATTGTAATGATAAAGGTGAGAAATCATGAGGACCTGAATGAAATGGAAAAGGGGGGCTGTATTTGTGATATTAATAAAGTAAATATCCAAAAGACGTCATGGCATATTAAGTGCAGATGTACTCAGATGTCTGTGGAGTTGAACATACCATTCTCAGGAGAGCCAGCTGGTATGCAAAAGGAGGATTGACAGCCATCAGTGTAAGGGATTGAATAGTGGAAGCCTTGGGTGAGGGTGAGATCAACCAGGGAGAGTGCCTAGTGTGGGGAGGGGAAAGGGCCTTGGGACAACCTAGGAGACACTGGTTTTTAAGGAGTGAATGGAAGAATAAGCTACACTGTACACTAAAAATGGGGAGTAGTCGAAGGAGGTATGTATGAGTGGTTATTCATATCTAATGCTATAGTGCAGTGCTGTCCAATAGAAATAAAATAATGCATAGATAATTTAAAAATTTCCTGTAGCTTTTTTTTTTTTTTTAAATTGGGGAATTGGGGAGGGGGACCAGCCAAGTTGTTGTTCTTCAGTCTTAATTGTGGAGGGCGCCACTTGCCATCTGGCTGCCCGTTGGCAGCACGTGGCCTCTAAGCTCAAAGTGCTGTGTTACAATCTTAGTTGCAGGTGGGCGTAGCCACCATCCGTGAGGGAGTCGAATCAGCAGCCTTGTTGTTAAGAGTGTGCACGCTCTATTCCCTGAGCCATCCAGGTGGCAGCTCAGCTCAAGGTGCTGAGCAAGTTCAGTCTTAGTTGCGTGCGGGCGTAGCCCACCATTGAACAGGCAACCTTGTTAGGGGCACGTGCTCTCACCAGCTGAGCCATCCTGCCACCTGTTGGCAGCTCAGCGGCAGCTCAGCTCTGGCGCAGTTCACTGGCCCATGTAGGAATCTAACAGGTGTCCCTGTTGCTGAGAGCTCATGCTCTTAAGCTAACTGTCAACCAACTGAACCACTCGGCCAGCCCTCCTGTAGCTGCTTTAAGAAACATAAAAAGAAATAAGTGAAATTAATTTTAATAAGATTTTATTTAATCCAGTATATCCAAAAATACAATCATTTCAACATAAAACTATAATGAGATTATTTTATAATCTATTTTCTTACTAAGTCATTGAAATCCAGTGTGTATGTTTCACTTATGCTTGCATCTTCATGTTATATCTTAATTCAGATACTGAATTTTCATTGGAAATTTTTTATCTGTATTTAGATTTCATAAAATTTATAGTTGAAAAAATCAGTTAACACACTCAAATTATACCAAAGAAACCTATAACTGAACTGAGTTTCAGTTTTTAAATTTAATTAAAATTTAAAAATTAAAAATTCACTTTCTTTATTATACTCAATATATTTGATATGATGAGTGGCCACTGTATGGGACAGTGCAGCTGTCAAGCATAAAGCAAGTTAAGGATTGAAAAGCACTAACTGGATTCAGCCACTCGGAGGAATGGCCTTGGTGAGAATGGGTTAATGGGAGATTGAGGGAAGTAGTCAGATTACTACAGATTCAGGAATGATGGGGAGATGAGGATGTGGAGAGGATAAACTTGGGTTACTCTTTTAAGAAATTTGGCAGGGTGAAGGAGGGAGAGAGGAGGTAGTAGCCAGACTAGATCATAAAATTGAGTGATTGAAATTGTCAAAGTCCTGAACAGGACTCGTGAGAAGAAAGCGCTAGTAAAAGGGGTTGAAGACAGGAGACTGCGACAACAATTTCCCTCCTCATTGTACCAGGCAAGTCTGTAATATTAACTGATAAAAAATATGTCTAGAATAACATTAATTATTTAAGTATTAGCAATTTAAAGCTAATTACATATACCTATCACGATTCAGTACCTATATAATTATGTAAATAATATTGACCATAAATGTAGCAAGACAGAAGATAGTTGTTGGTATATAAATCAATTTTACATGTCTTAGGTGTATTTTTTATCTTAGAAGTGGTCCTTTCTCCATGTAACTTTTAGAGTGACACTACACATTAAGGATGTGTAACTTGTCATCCAATATCCTTCTGAACATTATATAACAAGGCATATTTTAATATTCGTTGGTTTTATTCAGCGAGCATTTATTTAGTGCCTGGTATGTGCTATGCTGTTCTAATTGTGGTAATCAAATCTTGGGTTACTCTGTGTTCCTAGAGCATCCTAGAAACAGCCTGAATGAAACGCCAAGAATTTCTTCTGTAAATTCTAAAATTCAGTAAAAATTCAGATTATTTATCAAACTTGAAAATATTGGACTGAGTGGTATGAGTTGTACTTTTAGAACAGAGATGAAATAAAAATTCTGTTTGATGTTTACCATGTGTTAGCTTATGTTAATACGTTATGTTGGAAATACGTTAATGACTAGTCTTACAGTTTAGAGACTGGTTGAAGTCATAGGACTGTTTCATATCTTTTTGAAAATGTGGTTTTTGAAAAACTTAGTTTTCCTGGTGAATCTATTCAATAGAGACTTTTGAGCATCTACTGTTTGCCAGGCACTATGAAAGAGTTTGAGGGTACAGATGTATTATTTACAGCAGCCAAGATATGGGAGCCACCTAGGGGTCCATCAGTGGTTGATGATGGATAAAGAAAATGTGAGATATATGCAGTGAATATTATTCAGCCATAAAAAATAATGAAATCTTTCCATTTGCAACAAAATGGATGGACCCTAGAGGGCATTATGCTAAATGAAATAAGTCATATGATCTCATTTATGTGTGGACTAAAAACAAAACAAGCTCATAGATACAGAGAACAGATTGACAGTTGCCAGAGGTGGGGGTGGGGAATGGGGGAAATGGGTGAATGGGGTCAAAGGGTACAAATTTCAAGTTATAAAAGAAATAAGTCATGGGGTTGTAACTTACAGCATGCTGACTATAGATAATAAAACTATATTACATATTTGAAAGTTGCTAAGAGAGTAGATCTTAAAAGTCCTTTTCATAAGAAAAAAATGTTTTTAACTCTGGTGATGAATATTAGACTTATTTTGGTAATCATCTTGCAATATATACAAATATAAAATCATGTTATGTATCTGAAACTGTTATATATCAATTATGCCTCAATAATTTAAAAAAGTCATGTATGCCAAAATGTATAACAAGTCAT